TGCAAAACACCATGCAATGAACGCAGCAAACAATCACAAGATCACCCAAAGGCAATCAGGATCCCAAAGATGTCCGACAGGTCGGCTGCTCTCACTTCTTGGTGCATACCTGCAGCTAAGGACTCGAAGCGCTCATATTGCCAGTGGATGAACCTGCTTGGATTCAAGGATCGTGATACTTGTTTGATGACAGTCACGGAAAAGCTCCACCTAAGTTTTCAGGGGGTTGTAACACAAAACATGTTGAAATCTAAGGAACTCCACAAGTTAGCTCTGTCCCAGCCTGATCTTACCATGATCTGTGAAACATTTCGGCTATGTATGAAATGGCAATGGAAATGACCTCAAACCTTGGCTGCTGAAAAAACACCAGTTGAAGTCAACGTAGTTGGCTCGGTGTTGGCTCCAGAAAGCAGTTGCCAGACACTTGGACGTCGCAGCTGCAGCTGTTTCTTCTCTGCCGCTTGAAATGTTGTCAAATCAACCCGTTGATGTGCCTGCAACCCCCGTGGCATACCATTGCCATACCTGAAGCCAAAAAAAATAACCAAATTGGCCCACGGGCCTGGAGATGCACGGGGTATTTCTTCATAATTGTGTGAAGATGTCTTTTACGTCTTGAACCACTGGAAATGACGGAAGTTGCAGGCGAATGAGTTAAAAGGATATCAGTCTCTGAACCTGGAGCGTGGCTCGGTTCAACCAATCTGCAACTCTCTGACGGAACGTTTGTCCATCAGGAGCAGCTATGAGCAGCTGCAATCACGAGCTCGGCGATCATTCCAAGTTGCCCTCCTCCATCAACACCACCTGGGAGCGACTGGAGGCTTTGGTGCGGAAGAGGACCAAAGCAGATCCAATGACGGTAGCACCAAGGGCTCCCAGCAAAGCTGAGGGAAGATGAAATTTGGAGCCGGCAACTTCTGGCTTCTCGAGAAACAACCTGGTGGCTGCTGCCACATCCCCCTGGGCTTGGCAAGTTGGTTTCATTGAAGTGTACATCGCACCGGAGGTGGCTGTAGCATCCAGGCTGGTGATGGATTTTTGGACTTGGTCCAAGTAGTTCTGGTAGGCGGGGTCATTCGGCTGGGCCATCACCATTTGAGCCTCGACCTTGGTGACTGTCTCCTTGGCGTCAGCGGAGGCTTTGGACACTTGAGCCAGGACCTCACTCAAAGAGAGCACGTCGTTGCACATCTTTGTCATGTTGGCCTTAAACTGCTTCTGAATTGCAGCCTTTTGCTCCTCATCGGCAGCCGCCATCATTTGGCTGCCAAACGTCGGGATATAGGAGGACAGGGGCAGGATGGCATTCTTCCAAGACTCCACCTTGTCCTGCAACGACTCTGCGGAAGATTGGACGGAATCCGCCATCTTCTCCAACTGGTCTGGGGTGAACTCCGCCACCGCGGTGAACAACAAGGTTGCCAAGATGCGCCACATGATGCCGAGCACAGGTGTCACAAAGGAGAAACAAAGGTCGCAAGTGCACGAAGTGAGAGCCGAACTGCTTGAAGCACAGCCGTGTGCAAAATCATGTTTCTGCAAGTCAGATGCCATCTCCCGTAACGGATGATCATGCTGCTCGGGTTTAAAAAAAGAAACACTGCACTTGGTATGTTTGTAAAACATGTAAAATACTCACACCCCCTGATGAGGAACTACTCCGTTGATGTTTCCCCCTTGGACCCCGGTTTTTGAGGCTGCCACTGGTTGATTTCGATGGCCTCCTTCTGCGCTTCACCCGAGACCTGGGGCGCTATCTCAAAGGCGGTCATGCGATGTCATGCGGATACTTTAAAGAACAAACACTGGATGCTTCCTAATTTGGAGGTTCCAAAGTTCACCCAGTCAATTCCAGCAAAACAATCTAGCACTCGTATAGAAGAGTCATGGAATAGTGACATGTTATTGAGCCATGATTCAGCATGTATCATAAAGTAGTGATAATGGTATGGCATAGAATCACTCGCAATGTCATTATATGGCAGTCCAGCTGCCAAAGTTGGGGGTCAACCGAGCCGCCTATCAGTAAATCGAAATTTCTCTCACCTTATCTGCTAGACCTGAGGGTGGCGCCCTCCCTCTAACTGTACCCGGCAGAACTGAATGAACTGACAATAATTACTGCAAGATACTGCAAGTGTAGCTGAGTAGGAACCGGCAAACCATCTCCCTTGGATTGAACGGCCATTTCACTCACCGAGGTGTCCTAGGAAGCCCCACATCTGACTTTTTCAGCCTTTCAGAGCCCAAGTCACACAACAGGATCCTGTCACGGTCGAAATCCCCGCCGAGCAATCAACCCTCCATAGTTGGATGTTCACATGCCTTCACCAACTACTAGTGAGGCACCTGTTACTACTAGCGTGGCACTTGTTACTAGTAGCACTTGTTACTACTAGCTTGGGAAAATGCCACCCGCATGGTTTATCCATATGAGTCGAAGAATGACATCGTCCCCTCAAAAAGGTGGTGTAACAGCCGTATCGACGGCCAAAAATTGGTTTGCAAAGACTCCCCAGGGCCAGACCGTTGAGGTTTCACAGGGCCGGAAACTAGATACTATCCAAGCCACCCAGCTAAAAATCGGCCAGGCAGTCTTGCCACTCAACTTCTGCTCTGTCTCTTTGTTGACCCACAACGCGAATGATGAGAATCAGGTGCAATCTGGAGCCTCAGCTGAAGTTGGCGATGGTACCTGCATATTCCCCAGCCCCTGGCCCATTGAGTTTATCGTGATATTTCGATACAGAAAAGAATATATATCAAAAAAACTATCAACCACCCAAACTCGTCATCAATCCACGTGTTAATCATGCCACTCAGCAAACACATAATTTCCAAATGTCGTGCAGGTGTAGCCCATGCTGATTCTGGGTGCCCCCAACTCTCGCTGATTAATATGTCAATGGCAGAGGAGGACAAATGTCATGATTACACAAACATTATGGGATTTTTTCATAATGAATGACCATCATGAATTGTCAACAATCAATACCCAGCACGTTTTTGAAGTAGTCATAATTGTATGTATATTTTATATTTATTGTTGTATGGTAAATAGTGACAAACTGTCCTTATGAAGTAGCCATTACAATGCGAGAAGCACTCCACCAGCTGCAAAACACCATGCAATGAACGCAGCAAACAATCACAAGATCACCC